AGAGAAAGACCAGAGAAGGAAAAGATTGCTGGGAGGAGTCAGCGAATACAAAAGCCAAATGACAGGCCCAGGGCACTGCCTGGTCAGCTGCCACCAGCCCCAGGTCCTGGTGGGGAGACCTAGTTTCCTTACTCAGGGGCCCCTGAGTCCCCAGCATCAGCGATTGTGAGCTGTGAACCCAAGGTGAATGCCTTTACTCTTGGCCTCAGTGTCACCCTCTGTGAAATGGGACACCAGCACTAATGGCAGGCACAGTGTTAGGATGGGATGCAATAACATCCACGGCCATGCCAGGCACACAGTAGGTGCTTAAGAGATGGCTGGTCGGATCACTGCAGTCCAATCACCCAAATGGCTGGAGGCAGGCTTTACTGACAGGGAAAGCCTCCCTGTCAAATCGTTCAGGCTTTCCAGCTGTTCCTAATAAGTGTGTGCATGTGTGTCTCTCCATGTGTCTGCTTAAGGGGGGTGTGAGGGTCCATGTGAATGTTTGGGTGGAGGGATGAGAGTCAGCTGACCCCATGCCCCACCCAGGCTGCAGCCTCCACAGTTGGAAGGATACCAGCCGCCTGGTCAACTGTGGGCTTAGCCCAATCCTTACTCCTTTTTTTTTTTTTTTTTTAAACTAGCAGGTTTCATTTGGGCACAAAGGCCAACCCTCTTTTTTTTAGTTTTTATTTTATTGATTTTTTACAGAGAGGAAGGGAGATAAATAGAGAGTCAGAAACATCGATGAGAGAGAAACAGCGATCGGTTGCCTCCTGCACACTTCCCACTGGGGACGTGCCCGTAACCAAGGTACATGCCCTTGACCGGAATCGAACCCGGGACCGTTCAGTCCGCAGGCCGACGCTCTATCCACTGAGCCAAACCGGTTAGGCCCGATCCTTACTCTTAACAGCCGTGTGTGATTACTAACATTGGCTGCTATGGTTTACTGAGCATTCACTGAGCCAGGCCTGGGGCTGGGCCTATCACGCACATTTGACTTCACCAGCTTAAAGGGCTGCTATCATCACTCCCATTTCACAGATGAGAAAACTGAGACTCAGAGATGTTAAATGTCCTGCCCAAGCTCACATAGCTCAGGAGGGGCTTGAACTCACAGCCGGCCATCAAATTATCTGCTCTTAACCACCAAGAGGCTCAGGATACCCCAGCCGGCTTCTGGGAGGTTACATGTCCTTTTCACCAGCCTACAAAGCGTTGGGCCCTGCCTCCCACACAGGTGCCACCCCGCCCCCCCCCCCGCCCCCCTTCCCACCATTAGGACTGAGCCATTCTCGCAGCAACCTGTGATGTCAGGAGACCAGGCCAGGCTGCAGGGTGCTTGCTGGGACCCAGGTCTTGGTGGAAGAGCAAGATTAGTCCCATTTTACAGATGGGAAAATGGAGGCTCAGCAAGGTCAAATGTCTTTGCCAAAATCAAACAGGCAGAATTCAGTCTAACTCTGGAGCTGGATCTTCACCCCTCCACTCTTCCCCCACAAAAGGTTAGACACCTTCCCCAGAAAGCCCTCCATGATCTCTGAGGTCTCTAACAGTGCTCACTTCAGACCAGTTAGTGAGCACTACAGCCACGAGGCTAAAACATCTGCTCAGTTCCATGTCCTGCTGGGGACAAAAGCCCTTGCTTGCCCCTTCCCCTCCCACTGAAACCCAGTCCTGTAACCATACTTGTAATTAGCATAGCTCCATCAATCAAGTGCAGGGAGATTGTGAATGTTTCCTTCACATCCCCCCACGCCCCACCCCAGGAACGGCATCCCTGGAGCTGTGCATTGCGTATCCTGACCAGTTCAGGCACACAGTAAGTGCATTTGTTCAATAATTATGCTCATTATAGCCGCCATGGATCGAGGCCTCCTATAATTCTTAACTCTTTCCTAAACTATTTCATTTGATCCTCGTGCTAGCCGTATCACCAGGAAGGCACTCTGCTTGTACCCATTCTGTAGGTGAGAACACAGCGGCATAGAGAGGCCAAGCAGCTCGCCCCAGATTGTACAGCCAGGAAGTAAGGGCTGCTTAGGGCTGAACTCAGCCACAGAGCAGGAAGATGAGAGCAGATCCCCTCCTGACCCTCCTAATCCTTGGTGACCTGCACCGTCAGCTCTGACCCTGTCATTAGCTCAGATGTGAACATCAGGTCCCACACCTGTCATTAGGAACCAGGGTGACAGGAGCAGCAGAGCTGTTCACACCCTGTCCCAGCCCTCCCCAGTTTCAGCTGCTGAAAGGCTGACAAACAGGGAGGTGCAGTTTTCTCCGTGGAGGCACTCTGTTCGCTAGTTCGCACTTGTGCAGCTCAAAGCTGTGACTGCCTGGGTGTGAAGGTCACAACTCCCGGCTCCTGGGTCCCCTCAGCTGGGGCAGTGATGCTACCCACTGTCTGGGCATCTCTGATGTGCTAGAGCCGTGGTCGGCAAACTGCGGCTCGCAAGCCACATGCGGCTCTTTGGCCCCTTGAGTGTGGCTCTTCCTAAGCCTTAAGAGTACCCCAATTAAGTTAATAACAATGTACCTACTTATATAGTTTAAGTTTAAAAAATTTGGCTCTCAAAAGAAATTTCAATCGTTGTTCTGTTGATATTTGGCTCTGTTGACTAATGAGTTTGCCGACCACTGTGCTAGCGGCATTCTCTTTGTTGTCACGTTTGCTCCTCACAGGAACCCCATGTAGGAGATATTAGCACCATTCCTGCTTTGCAGACGAGACATTTGAGGCTCAGAGAGGTCCTCTCACTTGCCCACAGGAGAAGTGGCAAAGCCATAATCAGAAGCGAGGCATCCTGCCCAGGGCCAAAGCTCCTACCCACCATGCCATGCTGAATCTCACTGGCAATGGAGAAGACCCCCAAAAACTCAGGGTGAAAGAATAACTTGGGGACCTGTGCCCCATGACTTATGACCACATCTTAGAGCTACAAGTACAGGCTTAAGCACTGGTTAATGCTCAAAAGATTCTTGTTGAGAGAATGGGACAAGAGGCTGTCCCCCACCCCATAATCCAGCCCATGAACTTGACCCCATGGAGAGGAAAGGGCAGAGGGGCGCACTGGGCTGGTGAGACCACTTGGAGAAGCACCTGGCACCTCCTCAGGGCTGCGACTGTGCTGCAAGGCCATGGGAGCTCAAAGGAAGTCTTTCACTCCCTCCTGGGGAGAGAACCAAGAAGGCTTTCTGGAGAAAGACACCTCTAAGCTGAGATCTCAGATCAGTCAGGTCAGTCAGCCATGGGCAGAGGGTGGCTGCCTTGGGCTAGGAGTCTGGAGAGGGGCAGCACCCAGTGTCCTTGCCACCCCAGGCCCTCAGAGTCCCCACAGCTATAAAGGATGGGAATGCTTTCTTCCTATGTCTGCCGGAAAGGTCATGTCCCTCTCAGTTTGTCTGGATTTATTATAACCGTTTGTTAGGTCCAAGCCCAGGCCTCGGGGGACTGGATGCCGGGCGAGGCCTGGCCCATCTCCTGGTGTGAAGGGCTGGAGGGGCCTGAGTCTTAATGGAGGGAGAACAGCACAGTCCTCTGTGGCTGGCACAGAGCATGCAATTGTGCAATGTTCGAGAGAACAGCTCAGGGACTGGACAGGACCCCAGCTGAGTTGGAGAGCCAGCTGGACCCAGGCACAGAGGAACAGTGTGCAGGGCCCTGCCCCATCTCTGGGATTGTGAAAGACCAAGGGGGCCGGGTTGGGGGGAGCCTCCGAGGGGAGGGAAAGAAATGCGTCTGAGCTTGAAACAGACCAACGGAGAGGTGGGGGTGGGTGGGATCACTGGGCAGTGCAGTTTCTGAAAGGGCTGTGCCCACACGCCCTGCGCCAGCACCCAGGCCCCACAGCACTTGTCAAACAGGTCTGCCTGGGCTGGACCACAGGGGCAGGGTGGGGGCCCTGGCCAGCGTTTTCTCGCCTTCATCTGGGGCCTGGGAGGGAGTTAGGAGCAGCTCAGGGTCAAGGAGGGGTGCCGGGCTCACGGTGAGTGCACCTTGGGGAGGATACCCAGGCAGGTGGGCTGTGCAATCCTGAGTGCCCCACCTGCCTGGAGCCCCTTGTGGGAGAAATTTAGTAATTTCTCCTAAATGGGAACCCCACCCCCATTTTCCCTTCAGCGGGGACTAGACAGACCGAAGTCCCGCCCCCCCTCCCTCAATCTCAGCATCTCCACGAGGCTCCCTTAAACCGGTTATTAAGTGAATACATTAGGCTTATCAAAACGGACGTGGGCTGCCGTCTCAACGCAAACACATCAAGACATGTCATTCCCTTCCCAACCCGCCCTGGGAACCCGGGGCTCAGAGACGCCGCCAGTTTCGGGGCTGTGGGGGGGAGGGTGCGGCCAGAAGGAGGTCCGGACACCGCCCAGCCGCAGCGCAGACCCCAGCTCGGCTGCCGCCGGGGAGCGGGAACAGGAGGTGTTTCAGCCTGTGCCCACCCCCCATAGACCCCACACACACCGAGCACAGGGTGGCACCCCCACCTCTAGGCTTCCCCACGCCAGGAGCACCTGCGCTCTGTCCAAGGGAGGGGAACGCCCCCTCCCACACCCTAGCACAGTTTACCCGCCCCCGTGCGCCCCTAGACAGCGTTTCCTAGGTCCCCTCCACCCGGCCTGGGGTGTAGCGTCTCTGGACACACCACTCCCCACCCGGGCGGTGCTTCCGGCGCCAGGGCGACCCTGGGAGACGGAGGTCGCCTACACCTCCAGCTCAGCTCCCGCCCTCCAGGCGCTAAGTCAGTGTTCTCTGGGCTCCTGGAACTCTCCGGTGCCAGATCCAGTGTTTTCCCCAGGACGCGCAGCCCATCCCTCACCGCCGCCGGAATTCACAGCTCTAGGGTGGCCCGCGGGCCGCACGTTCCAGAGAGTCGCGCACTCCGGGCTCAGTCCCCGCCCTCCGGCCTCCCAGGACCGTGCTTCCTGGGCTCCCTGCAGCCTCAGCCCCGCGCCCCGCAGCGCGCGGCTCCGCGAGGGCGTGTGGGGGCGGTGTGCGGGCGCCTCCTCACCTCCGGGTCTGCACCTTGGGGCTGTATTTGCCTTTGTTTCTCTTCTTGAAGAGCGAATGCATGGTGGCGCTGGGGTGCGCGGGCGGGCGGGCAGCGGGCGGCGGCGCGGGCCTGGGTACTGGGCGGCGGGGGGACCCTGCGCGCACCGAGGGGCGGCAGCGGGCGCAGGTGAACCGGCGACTGCGCGGGAGCCCGAGTGAGGCGCTGCTGGGGCGCCGGGTCACTACTCGCGAGGGGCGGGGCGCCCGCAGACCCAGGGCTCTCCCGGCCGCTCCCGGGAAGGTGGTGCTTACCTTCCCGAAGGAGGGGCCATCGGACGGGCGGGACTTCCCGACGCGTCGGGCGCGCGCTCTGGGCCGGGCAGGAGGGAGTGGGGCTCCCGGCCTGGGCTGGGGGTGGGGACACGGGGTCTTTTCCGGACACCGCCCCCCCCCCCCACGCTAAGCAGGCGGGCGGGGGCGCTCGGACCGCTTTCCTAAACATTCTCAGCCCCACCCTCACTCCCGGGCCTGGAGTGCCCCTGGCTGAGGGCCTTCACCTGGCTCTCGGCTGCCTCTCGTTGGCTAACACCTAGGTGGGTCCTCCAGGCAGGTGTGGTGAAGACCAGTCTGGGCCCTGTGCCCTCGATAGCTAGTGAATTACACGCAGGTGGTAGCAGTGTCGGTGGAAATTGAGAAAAGGGGGCTCTGAAGTGCGCCGCCGGCGTTCAGATCCTGCAGCCACAGATGGTCAGCTGACTCCTCGGGGAGGCTTCTTAGCGCTCCCAGCCTCAGTTTCCTCATTTGTCGAACAGTGATAACCACCCCCTCCCAACGGGTTTTGAAGAGATTCTTGTAGATAATTCACACAAAGCACTTAGCACAGTGCCTGGCCCCAGCGGGCAGGAAGCGCTGCCATCATTATCACCGTGCCATCTCCGGCGGACAAAAAATCCTTTGAAACTTGATAACTCCAGGCCCTGGCAGGACAGACTACTTCATAGCTGGTCATAAAAGCTGCTGGATTCTGGTTCAGAATAGCCACATTGCACAATGCTGCCAGCAAGTGCCCGGTTACACTGTGCACTGCAGGCTGCAGCTGGACAGATAGTAAACCCATTTCAGCCATGAACCCGAAGGAGCCGGACAGCTGGGAGGGTTCAGGGCCTCTCTGGAGGGCACTGGGGGGCTCTGACCCCAGCTGGGAAGGAGGAGCGCACAGTCTCCAGGGGAGATTCCAAAAGGCAGCAAAATAAATTTTGGCCAAAGGGCCATTAGGGCTTAGATGGAGCAAAGAGGTCTGCAGGGGAGAAAGGCAGGAACCCACACTGGGTATCCAGAGTCCTCAGACCAGTCCCTTCCTCACCTGTTCATATATATATATATATATATATATATATATATATATATATATATTTCAGAGAGGAAGGGAGAGAGACACACAGAAACATCCATGATGAGAGAGAATCATTGATGGACTGCCTACTGTATGCCCCACACTGGGGATCAAGCTCGCAACCCAGGCATATGCCCAGACCAGAATTGAACCATGACCTCCTGGATCATAGGTCAACGCTCAAGCACTGAGGCACCAGCCAGGCTCCCCACGTGTTTTTATTGATAAAACTAGAAGCCCAGTGCACAGATTTGTGCACCAGTGGGGGGCCCTCGGCCTGGACAGTGATCAGGGCGATTGGGGCCACAGGAGGTTGGCCAGCAGGAGGAGGGGCCACAGGAAGTTGGCCATCCTTATTGAGGTCATTGGGCCAGCCAGTTGGGTGGGGGGAGGGGCTGTGGGAGGTTGGCTGTGGGAGCACACTGACCGTCAGGGGGCAGCTCCTGCATTGAGCGTCTTCCCCCTGGTGGTCAGTGCACATCATAGCGATCTGTTGATTGGTTGCTTAGGCTTTTATATATATAGATAAGGAGGTTGGTGGGAAAGTGGATTCCAAGGGCTTACCCTGGCCCAGACCCAGCAGCTTTTGAAAACTTAGTGTCCTTTGGGCCTTCTCTTGTTTCTGCCACCAAAGAACTGAGCTTTCAGTGTTACAGAGACCCTATGAAATCTTATTCTTTTTATTTTATGTTATTTCTTGACTAGAGGCCTGATGCATGTGGGGTCCCTCAGGCTGGCCTGTGCCCTCTCATAATCCAGGACCCTTTGGGGGATGTCAAATTGCTGGTTTCAGCCCGATCCCCACGAAACCGGCAGTCCAACAGGAGGGATGTAGTAGTGAGAGAAGCAGCAGGCGGCTGGGGAGGAGCCTGTGCTGCTCATAAGCTCCCTGAGCGGCGCTCCTGGTGTGGGAGTGCACTCACCACCAGGGGGCAGCTCCTATGTCGGTTGTCTGCCCCCCTGGTGGTCAGTGCATGTCATAGCAACTGGTCATTTGGTCATTCAGTCACTTAGGCTTTTATATAGAGAGAGAGAGGACGGAGGAGAGAAACATCAATTTTTATTGTTCCACTTATTTACGCATTCATTGATTGATTGTTGTATGTGCCCTGACTTGGGATTAAACCTGAAACCTTGGTGTTGGAGATGACACTCTAACCAACTGAATTACCCAGCCAGGGGCAAAAACCTTATTCTTAAGGGGGCATCTCTGGGTGGGCTTAAGGGGGTCTCTGAGTCCCCCTACACTTGATTTTAAAATGTGTGTCCATATGTGCATTTTCCTGGGGGAGAGTCTATCACTCTCAATAGGTTCATTAATTCACTCATTCAACAGACTAACACTCTCCAGCCTTGGCTGCCTGGTTCTGCTGCATTGATGAGAAAAGGGAAAAACCAAAAAACAGCAAAGGGCCTTTCTCTTGGGGGCGGGGAGAAGATACATACTAATAATTTTTTTTTTTTTAATTGACGACCCTTAAGTTAACTTTTCAGAAAGGTCTGAGAACCTAAAAGGGATAAAGGCCCTGCAAGATGCAATGGCTCTGAAGGTGTGCATCAGGATCCTCAGGGCAGTTTGTAAAAATGCAGATTCCAGGGCTTTGAGCTCCTGACAGGGGAGTGTGGGGAGGGGCCCAGGAATCTGAACTTTTGGCAAGTCCTTCTGTGAGAAGCCAGGAGCCAGGGATCTTGCCTGAAGCTCCTCCCCCGTCCCAATCTTCTCAGTTGGGGAGCCTTTAACAGATCTTGCCAAATCTAACCCTGTCATTGCCCCTGTGAACTTGGCTCTGCCTGGCTCCTCTCTCAAACCCCGCCCCCCCAACCCTCCTTAGTCAAGGAGTTCCTCACTGGGCAGCTAAGGGCTTGAGCAATTCCCTTGGTCCTGCAGTGAATTCCTTCCAGGGTCTGAGGATAGGACAGGGCCTGGAGGGCACCAAGGAACTTGCCTCCAGCAAGCTGATGGTGTGATGGTGTGGAGCAGGTGTCAGGGAGGAGTCAAAGCTACAGAACATAAGTGGGACCTGCTGGCATGGCTCAGTGGTTGAACGTCAACCTATGAACCAGGAGGTCACGGTTTGATTCCTGGTCTGGGCACATGCCTGGGTTGTGGGCTCAGTCCACGGTATGGAGCGTGCAGAAGGCAGCCCATCAATGATTCTCTCTGATCATTGATGTTTCTATCTCACCCTTCCTCTCTGAAATAAAATGTATATATATTTTTTAAAGGAAAAGAATGAACACATTATATATATATAAAAAAAAGAATATAGGTGGGGGCCCACATGGGACCTGCAGAAGCCTCAGCTCAGCACAGAGCTGTCACCTAAGACCCCCTCCCCACACCCCAAGTGGGCCATAGACAGGGGCTCATGAGGGATCTTGTTAGTCCCCCTGCTTTTGCCCACTTCACAACTCCTCCTGGAAATCCTTTCCTTACTCACCCCCCTCCCCCGCCCCATTACCTTTCCCTGCAGGGGGCCCTTATGTGGGGGCTGAGCCAGACTCAGGGGTGTTCTGGGCGGCACTGTTGTGGGGAAGGAAGTCATCAGATGGCCACTGGAAGGGGTGTTTAAATAACCCAGGGTTAATCCACACCGGGAAAGGCCTCGCCCCGAGAAGAATGGGAAGGGATGCGGAGTGCTGCTGAGACACACATAGGGTCAGGTGCCGAGTGCAAGGGTGAGGGAGAGAATGAACATTCATGTGTACGTGCACAGAAAACTTCTGGAAGGATCCACGAGAAACTTAGCCATGAGTCCCCTCAGGAGGGACAAGGGAGAAATCTAGCATTTGGACTTAAAAAAAATTTTTTTTGTATGTCCTTGAATTGCTTTTTCAATGTCTTTTTCCAGCTACTATTAAAAACTCGTGTAAGAATGACCAAAGTCTGTCATTCCCTTCCAGAACCTTCCTTCTACCCCCTTCCCTGACCCCCAACTTCTTGCCCCACCACACTCTATGGTTCTAACCTCCTTCCTCGTTGGAAGAGGACTGGGGGATTCTGGCGGATAAGGATCACTGAAGATGTGAAATTTGGGGGGAAGAGAACCATGCTGACGAAGGTAGCCAGTCTACCGTTCAGTTGCTGAGAGTGTAACAGCCATAAAGATACAAACAAGTACAAAGCCCACCGTGATGAGTCTGGAAAAAAGAGCTGCGCCAGGGTCCGGAGATGGGGAGGAGGGGAGCAGCCTGGGGAGACCTGGGTTGGAGTCCTCGTTCAGTCCCTTTCAGCTGTGTGAACGTGGGAAAATCCTTTTCCCTCTCGAGCCTCCGTTTCCCTCATCTGGGAAATGGGCGCAACTGTAGCATCCCTCTCAGAGGGTGAGCTCCCGTGTATTAAGCGCTTGCCCCCTGGCAGTTAGTGAGGGCTCAACAAATGGAGGGGGGCGGCGTGCGCACATCTGTAGCTGGAGGCTCAATGCTAATGGGACTGAGGGGTATAAGCAAGAACTCTAAACTGTCTCCAAACCCTGGGCTTCTCCCAACTTCCAAATCTCCTTCCCCACACCCCCTAGGTCCACTTAGGCGAGGGAACCAGGCTAGGAGCCTCCAGGTGAGCAGGCTTGCAGCTCAGCTGCTGAGTAACAGCCACGGCCTTGACGATGTTAATGCCATTTCTCATTGATTGAGGGTGATTCTGTGCCAAGCAATAGGGTGTGTGCCTGACATGCCTCAGCTGAGTGATTGTCCCCAAGGACCACCCCCATACCCTGTGGTGAAGCAGACCAGCCAGCTGGGAGGAAGCTCTTATGTTCCAGGGAAAGGCACTGAGGTCCTAGGAGGTCTGTGCCCGATGGGCTGGTTCCCAGGTCAGCCTGCTGGAGTCCTGGACC